TACACCATACAGCATATACCACACAGCATATACCATACACATATACCATACACCATACAGCATATACCACACAGCACACACCATATACTGTATACCATATACCATACACCATACAAAATACTCCATATACCAGACACCAGATGCCACACATCACACACCATACAAAATATACAATACACCATACAAAATACACCATACACCATACAAAATACACCATACACAAAACGCCATACACAATAAACATACAATATACACCATAAAGCATACACATACTGGTAGCTCTGAGTGGACGCAGTGGATAGAAAGAAAAACAAAGAACACATGAAATTGGGAGGGAATATTGGAGCATGGAAATTCTCAAACAATTAAGAATAATTAAAGCAATGAAAATTAAAATACCTTGATATAAAGTTTAAAAATAAAAAAGTAAATTATTTAAAATGGCTGATCTCATTATTGATGATCTCATTATTGATTCCCTGTGACAGCTTCAAAGGTTGCTTAACAAGGATACCTACTGAGATTTTAAAAAATATGCCAGTCACACTAAATTTAAAACTTGGTGTGTATTATCTCATTTGAATCTTACAGGAAGCTTATGAGGTTATTGTGAAAACTTCTGTTATCTTACATATAAGGAAAACAGAGCAGAGAAATGAAGTAAATTGCCTCGGATTGTCCACTCTGTCACTTGGTCAGTTGGGAGATGGCTTTGGCACTCATGGAACCGTTTGCTCAGGTCCACTGCTACCACCCCCAAGCCGGGTGTCAACTCACGTCTCTCATCATCTTCACTGCTTCCCGGGTCCTTCCGAGTCTCCGGGCACACATCGCTAGCCTCCGTTTGATGTAGACCAAGACATTGGTGTCTCGTCCTGAGAAAGCAGAGACAAAACATCAACAGCTAAAAACAATCAATAAAAATCAAGAGCTTAAAGTTAAGCAGCAAGGAAAAATGCAGAGGCTCATTGTGTTACCCTTAAAGAAACCCTCCAAGAGAACATCCTGCTCCAATGACCTTTCCTACTGCCAAGAGCACAGAGACCCCGCTTAGTTAATAATAGAATGTGTGCAGAGTAAAGGAAATGCACTTAGATGCCCAAAGCCCAGGACGATGACTGATGACCTAATCTGTGCTTTTGAGCTACGCATGTGGACTATCTGATAATAAATAAAATCTCTGTCACCCAGGGCTAAGAAAGTGAACACAGCAACATTGCATGCAGTTTACAAGCAAGAATTCTGTATTCCGTAAGTGTGCATGCTTTTGGTAAAGATGCAAAGGGGTGAATCTCAGGTTGCATCCTGATGAACTATTTTTTTTCCATTCTTGACATTAACTCTGGAGAAGCCTCATCTTGAACTTCTGGTTCATATTATTCTTTCTCTAACACTAGTGACATCATAATCATCTCCAGGTCCCAAAAGCAGTTGGTTTTAGATGGCAATATAACACATTCCAGATATGACAATAGAGCTAGAGCATGCAGAATGAAAAACTACCCTAGTGTGAGAGAAAGCACTGACAAGCTAAACAGCTACAGCTACAGTCGGGAAAACGGTCCCTATAAAGTATATTAGCAACTTCTTATCTTAATCTTTTATTTAATTATGTATTTTGGATATGTTTCCAGACCAGTGAGAACACGCATATGCTTAATCCTCAATAAAATTACTGTATTTGAGAAACATATGACACACCTGTTATGGATTAAGTACATGTATGATACTCAGCTATTAAAAGATGCTGAGACCAAAGTCTGAACATTTCAAGTTTTAAACAATGAGAACAAGATGTGTGCTGAAAAACTGCCAAGTACCTACAAATTATTTTAAAGACGTGATTATATTTTTGGATAGATTTAGGCAACAGGTTGAAAGGATTTAATTTAGAGAAGAAAAGAAAGAAAATGTCTTAAGTTATATTATAAGTTGTGTAGTTTATGCATTAATTTTCATTTAGTTCACAAAATGGACATTTACTCCACATCTTCAAAATACACTGCTCTATTTTTATAATGACAGAGGCCTTAGTGTTACATATACTCACTGCAGAATAAAACTGCAAAACCTGTGTAGAGACAGCTCGTGGGGACATACTCCCCACACGTGTCAGCTATAATGTAATGATACTGCTGGCACCTGAGACCGAGAGTCTGATTCAGTCCCATTCTAGACCAAATCCAAGTTTAATATTAAAATTTAATTATATAATATCAAGTATGAAGGACATATAGCCCTACTTTTCAAACTAAAGGAGAGAGATGAAGTGAGAGAAATTCTACCTAAAAGAAACAACCCACATTTTTGTCAGACCATGAAAACACTTTTCTCCCACAAGAATCACTGGATTTCTGTTTACATAACCAACCAAGATGAGCCAAGGGCTGAGGGAACTCTGGTGATTACTTTGTCTTACTTCTATACTTCCCACAAAGTACCTCGGGTTTTCAGTTTAGGGTAGTGAAGTAAAGGGTCTTAGCCTTTTAAAAGTTATTTTACAAAAAAAAAAAGGTATTATTTTAAGAAAACTCCAATAATTAAGAACTCGTGGTTCTTTCTCTCAACTAATGTTTCTTAAATAATAACTAAATGCCGATAGACTATAGCCAATAAAAGATTTATTCTAAATTGTCCTTTTTCAACCATGCTTTTTTATCTATGCTATCCAAGACTTAGGGGATAATATTTTTATGATGCTAAAAACCAGTTTCTGTTCAGTTACCAAATTTAGACTTAAAGATATGAGATGGAGAGAGAGCTGAGATGAAACCACTGAAGACAAGAAGCGCAAATCAATTCTGGGGAGAAGGTTCTATTAAAAGTTATTGTGGTGGGAGACGCATGGAAGTGTTTGAAGGGAAGGAAGAAATGATGAAATTAGAGACTCAAAAAGTTGCTTTAAAACTTTTTTTCTGTTTGTTTATGGCAATGAAATTCTGGGGGCATGAATGAGCATAGGAAGATAATGGTGACCAAGTTGGCAGTGCACTGCCTTATCTAACAGAATCCACGAGCATCCAGTTCTGAGCTGGACTGAACCTGTATTCTAATTAACTTTCCCATTCCGATCCCTCAGCGCATCACCCTGGAGGAAACCTTACTGTGTTGAGCTTCATACTGGGACCCATGGTGTTGTAGCTGCTGAGAGCGCCGGTAACAACCATCTCCAGCCTTCAGGGCCTGCTTAAAGAGTTTTTCTGCTTCAGCAATAGTTGTTGCTTCTTCTTCAGCCAAGAGAATATAAGCAGTTGCACACCTGTCCATTCAGATATTACAAATTACAAATCCAAGGACACTGCAATAGACGGTGGGAGTTCATGCAGAAGGGCAAGGAGTTACATCAAACATGCAGCATGGCCAACTGATTCATGCACCTGTTTGTAGCTGTTGACACAGTAATGGTACAAAAGAAACACCTGTAGTTTAGCTTGAGTGGTATAATGCGTAATGTTAGCAACATGGGGCTCATATATGACTTGGCCCCTTCTTAATGTGTTACCTGGGGCAAGGTATCAGTCTGCCTCCCTGATGGAGATCATGAGATCTACTTCATGTCTCTGCGAGAGTTCAAGAAGATGCTTTCTGTGGAGTGCTTAGTGTAGCAGTCAGCACTGAGGATATGCTCAGTGAATGTCAGCTAATAATGATGACTTTAATAGCTACTAGTAAATATCTCTGTTCAACACTTAAAGAATTACATATGTTTTCTTTTGTTTACTAGACACAGACTGTTTTCACTGCAAGAATTTTTTCAGAGCATAAAATTCATTAAACCAAGTTTCTGACTGAAAAACAAAGTGCAACACTGTTTTAAACTCCCAGAGCGGTGCGGATTTTCTGCATCAGAGAACTCAAAAAAAACCTGGAAAAGTCGTTTCTGGAAAACTCAACCTCTGATACAGTCACACAACCTAAGGAGAGTCCAACCTCATGCCTCTAACAACAAGCTGTCATTTGCTGCTGAGTATACAGTAAACACCATGCCAGGCACTAATCATATCATGTCATAGCCCTTTCAACAACTCTCTGAGGCAGGAAGCCAAAAAGGATACGCAGTTAACTAACCAACACAGGAGGCGTTTAAAGATGCAAACCTTCCAAATCATACAAAGAACAACCCACTGTCAGAGAAAGGGGGATCTGAGAGGGTGATGAGGCTAGAATAGACCCCATGGTGTTAATCTGCACTCATCCCTCCATCTTCTTCACTGTTCCTCTGTGGACAGTGCCCTATTTCTCTCCATCAGGCCACAGGAGAGGAAATAAACAGAAATTAAAACTAAATGTTACTATTTGAAAACTGCAAAGCCAGCTAGGACAAAGTATGAGCTTATCAGACAATGTTAGGTTTGGGGCCATCTGATCCTTAGTGGGGGGTAGAGTCTTACAAACTCTTCATCCCGTTCTTCTAATTTCAAGTATGAACCATTGGCGAGGCTTTAACTACATATGACAAGGTATGGAGAAAATACCCAGAATAAAAGCTAGAAAATCAGTTACTATGGAGGGCAGAATATATGACTTGCGAAAAAATAACAGTGATGGTAAAACTGTCTCATGATTTACTGAAGGGAACTACTGGGGTAGGCATCAGAGGAATCACTTAAGGTTTCAGATGCCTACCTAAAAATACAGCTTCAAGGTAATGAGCTAAATACTGAGATAACAGTAACTGTGGGCATAGCTTTAAAGGAATGCGCTATAGGACTTCAGCTGGTGGGTCGGGAGTCAAGAATAGTTAGGAGGAGGCTGTTTGCTCTATGTGTTCTTATTTCAAGTAGTAATCTCAGGAGGAGAGAGAAAGTCGCAGCCAAGAAACATGTCTCTGTGGAAACTCATGAGTTTTGGGTAGGAACATGCTAAGAGCTTGTGCATGAAAGAGAGAGAGAGAGAGAGAGAGAGAGAGAGAGAGAGAGAGAGAGAGAGAGA